CAATTAACATATTTTTAATCCAAATATTAGAACCTAACACATAATTATAATGTGAATATGATCTTTCGAAGTAGAAATTAATAACGGAAAATTAAATTTATAATAAAATAATACAAGGAAGCAATAATTTAAGAAAAATGACATCCCCAAACATGCCGTATCTTCAAAATAGCAAATAATTTTTCTGAATTTAAAACGTCCCCCCTTATAGTGATATTATATGACAAAGAATCCTCGATAACTATAAACTTACCAAAAGCCCTTTTAAAATAGAATTATTATTTCAACCATTAATGCATTGATGTGTGTGGACATTCAAACCAAAATTAATGCATTATAGCTGAAGATACAATTTAAATCGTTTTAATCTAAAAATCCATTCTCAATTAGCACTTAATTATAATGTGAATATAATACTTTGAAGTAGAATGTAATAACTAAAAATTAAAATTTATGTAGAAATAATACAAAAAAGCATTACCTTATAAAAAGTTTAGCGGTCCCGGAAAATGCCGTATGCTCAAAAATGCAAATATCTTTCCAGAATTTAAAACTTATTATGTTTCTCTAATAGCAGAATTATATGAAACAAAATTCTTGATAACTTTAAACTTGTTAGAAGCCTTCTTAAAAATAAACTTCAAGATTCTATGCAAATACGTATGTGAAAATCTAAACCAAAATTTCTTGACGTTACTATTATATATCCGAAGATTCAATTCACATATCGTTTTAATTCAAAAGTAAGCTCTCAGCATAAAATTATATATAAATATAGTTTTTTGAAGTAGAATTTAATAACTCAAAGTTAAAATTTATATTTAAATAATACAAAGAAACATTACTTTTAAAAATTTTATCGGTTCCGGAACATGCCGTACGTTCAATAATGCAAATAATTTTTCTATAACCTAAAAACATAATACTCGCTCTAATAGCAGAATTATTTGAAACAAATTTCTCGATAACTTTAGACCTACCAGTAGCGTCCTTAAAATAAAACTGCTTCAAGTTTCAATGCAAATGTGTATTTGAAAACCTAAACCAAAATTTATTGACGTTACTATTATATATCCGAAGATTCAATTCACATGGTTTTAATTCAAAAGCTAGCTTTCAATATATAATTATATGTATTAATATGATCTTTTCACGTAGAATTTAATAACTAAAAATTAAAATTTATATTTGACACAACAAGAAGGATTGGATAACTACATCATACAGGAATACTGCACATCGTGTATTTCACAAGACAAACTTTTATATCAATATGGCGATGGCGAGAGAGAACATTAATTATAAATTAATATAGATGGTCGATCGGGACGACCAAAAAGATTATAAATAGCGACACCACAGTTCGCGTTGATTGGCTAGCTTAGCAATATTGTTATAGATGTGATCGTTAATGCTCTAACAATATTGCAATAATACAAAATAAAATTATTTAAAAAATAGTTTATCGGTCCCGGAACATGCTGTATGTACACTAATCGTATGCAAATAGCTTTTAAAACTTTACAACATTATATCTCGTTTGAATAGCAAGCTTATATAAAAAATCTGTATAATCTTAGACTTTTATCAAAAGTATTCTAAAAACTACTTTAATAAAAAATGATATAAAATCAAATTGAAATTATACTGACGAATGTTCAATTTAAATCGTTTTAATCCAAAAATCGATTCTCGAATAATTAATTATAAATTAATTATAAAAATCGATTCTCCAATAATTAATTATAATGTCAATATAATCTTTCGAAATAGAAATTAATAACTAAAAACTTAAAATGAAATAATACAGAGGCAATAATTTAAAATTTTTTTCTGTCCCGAAACATGCCGTATGTTCAAAAATGCAAATAATTTTCCTGAATTTAAAACGTCCCCCTCTAAATAATAATATTACATGACAAACTTTTAATTATAATGTAAATATGCTATTTCAAAGTAAAATTTAATAATTTAAAATTAAAATTTACATAGAAATAATAAAAAGAGACATTACTTTATAAAAATTTTAGCAGTACCGTAATATACCGTATGTTCAAAAATGCAAATCATTTTCTTGATTTTAACACGTCCCCTTCATAGCGATATTATATGACAAAAACTCTTCGATAACTTTAAACTTACCACACACACACACACACACACACAAAAGCCCTTTTTAAAATAAAATAATTATTTTAACCAATTATGCAAATGATGTGTGTGGGCATCCAAATAAAAATTAATACATTCCATCCGAATATTCAAATTAAATCGTTTTAATCTAAAAATCCATTCTCAACACTTAATTATAAAGTGAATATGATATTTTGAAGCAGAACTAAATAACTGAAAATTTAAATTTACATAGAAATAATACAAAGAAACATTAGTTTACAAAAATTTTAGCGATTCCGGAATATGCCGTATGCGCAGAAATGCAAAAACCTTTCCAAAGTTTAATATTACGTCGCTCTAATAGCAGGATAATATGAAACAAATAATTCCTCGATACCTTTTGACTTACCAGCAGCTTTTTTAAAAATAAACTTACTTCAAGTTTCAATGCAAATATGGATGTGAAAACCTAAACCAAAATTATTGACCTGATTGTTATATTCGAAGACACAATTTACATAGCTTTAATCCAAATGTCGAAATATCAGCTCTTAACACGTAATTATAATGTGAATATGATCTTTCGAAGTAGAAGCTAATAACTGCAAATTAAAATTTATAATGAAATAATACAAAAAGACGATAATTTAAAAAATGTTGTCGGTCCCGAAACATGCTATATATATGTTCAAAAATGGAAACATCTTTCGAGAATTTAAAACGTATTACGTCGCTAATAGCAGGATTATATAAAATAAAATTTTCGTTAACGTTAGACTTATCAGAAGCTTTTTTAATACGTAAATATAATTTGAATATGATCTTTCAAATAGAAATTACTGAAAATTAAAATTTATATAGAAATAATAGAAAGAGACATTACTTTACAAAAATTTTAGCGGTCCCCGAATATGCCGTATGTCCAAAAATGCAAATATCTTCCCATAATTTAAAACTTATTATGTCACTCTAATAGCAGGATTATCTGAAACAGAATTCTCGATAACTTTTAGACTTACCACAAGCCTTCTTAAAAATAAACTTACTTCAAGTTTCAATGCAAATGTAGGTGAGCTTTAATTCAAAAATTAGCTCTCTCATATAAGTATAATGTGAATGTGATCTTTCGAATAGAAATTAATAACTGGAAATTAAAATTTATATAGAAACAGTACAAAGAAGCTATATAATTTAAAAAAAAAACGGTGTCGGAATATATCGAAACATGTCGTATGTTCAAAAACGCAAATAATTTATTTGAATTTAAAACGTTCCCCTCATAGCGAAATTATATGACAAAAAGGTTTTGATAACTTTAAACTTATCAGAAGCCCTTCTAAAAATAGAATTATTATTTCAATCATTAATGCAAATAATGTGTGTGGACATCCAAATAAAAATTAATGCATTACACCCGAAGATTTAATTTAAATCGTTTTAATCTAAAAATCCATTCTCAACACTTAATCACAAATGACATTTAATTAAATATGACATTTCGAAGTAGAATTTAATAACTGAATATTAAAATTTATGTAGACATAATACAAAATACATAAGACATTAATTTACAAAAATGTTAATGGTCCCGGAATAGGTCGTATGTTCAAAATGCAATTACCTTTCCAGAATTTAAAACTTATAACGTCGCTCTAATAGCAAGATTATATAAAACAAAATTCTTGATAACGTTAGACTTACCAGAAGCCTTCTTAAAAATAAATCTACTTCTCAAGTTTCAATGCAAATATAAATGTGAAAAACTAAACAAAAAATTATTGATTTTACTGTTACATGCGAAAACAATTTACATAGTTTTAATCCAAGCATCAGCTCTCAACGCGTAATTATAATGTAAATATGATCTTTTAAAGTAAAAATTAATGACTGCAAATTAAAATTTATAATGAAATACAAAAAAGCGATAATTTAAAAAAACTGTCGATCCCGAAACATGCCGTATGATCAAAAATACAAATAATTTTTCTGAATTTAAAACGTCCCTCTCATGGCGATATTACATGACAAAAAATCCTCGATAACTTTAAAATTACCAGAAGCAAATAATGTGTGTGAACACTCAAACCAAAACTAATGCATTTTATATCCGATGATTTAATTCGTTTTAATTTAAAAATCCATTCTCAACACTTAATTATAATGTGAATATGATATTTCAAAGTAGAATTTAATAATTGAAATTAACATTTATATAGAAATAATACAAAGAGACATTACTTTACAAAAATTGTAGCGGTCTCGGAATATGCCATGTGTTCAAAAATGCAAATATTTTTCCAGAATTTAAAACTTATTAAGTCGCTCTAATATCAGTATTATATAAAACAAAATTCTCGATGACTTTTTTTAGACTTACCAGAAGCCTTCTTAAAAATAAATCTACTTCAAGTTTCAGTGCAAATGTGGGTGTAAAAACCTAAACCAAAATTATTAACTTTACTCTTATGTAAGAAGATCGATTCAATTCGCATGGTGTTAATATAAAAATCAATAACATGTTAACAGTTAATTATATGTAAATATGGTCTTTTGAAGTAGAATGTAATAACGGAAAGTTAAAATTTATACCGAAATAATACAAAGAAACATTACATTTAAAAAATTTTATCCGTCCCGGAACATGCCGTACGTTCAATAATGCAAATAATTTTTCTATAACCTAAAAACATAATACTCACTCTAATAGCAGAATTATTTGAAGCAAAATCCCCGATACCAGTAGCCTTCTTAAAATAAAATAAAACTACTTCAAGTTTCAATGCAAATGTGTATTTGAAAACCTAAACTAAAATTTATTGACGTTATTATATATCCGAATTTAAGATTCAAATCATATGATTTTACTTCAAAAGTTAGCTCTCAACATATAATTATATGTAAACAAGTTTTTTTGAAGTAGAATTTAATAATTAAAAATTAAAATTTTTATTTGACAGAACGAGATATGCGATATCTAAATCACACAGGAAAAAATATAATACTGCACATCGTGTATTTGCACGAGACAAACTTTTATATCAATATGGCGAGAGATAACTAATTATAAATCAATATAGATGATCGATCGAGACGATCAAAAACGTTATAAACGGCGACACCACATTTTGTCTTAATTGGCTAGCTTAGCAATTGTTATAGCAGATGTGGATCGCTAATGCTCTAACAATTTCGCAAGAACATATAATTCAAAACTTAAAAGTGAAACTTAAATTTCAATTTTATAATTTCTTATTTTATTAAATATATTATGTAATAAATGTATTTTGCTTTACTTATAAGAAAAGAAAACTTATTGTTAACTTTTATTGCTAATAAGTAATATTAGCATATATATAATAAGAAATAAACTTGGACATTTCATAACAAATTAATGCAGTAATTGAAACTTACAATAGAGAAACTAAAAAATAAAAAACATTCTGCCTTCAAAAATAAAAATACATATCTTAATTTTAGTAATTAAAATTTATAATCAAAAAGTTAATAGACTCAAAAATTAAAAACATATTATTTTAAAAAATAAAAATGCATATCTAAAATGGCATAATTGAAATTTGTAAAATCAAAATCTTAATAAACTCAAAAATCAAAAATAGGATGCCATAAAATATAACAATACATCTTAAAAATTAAATGTAGATACATTTACTCAAAAGTCTTATTTTTTTTTAATTGGTTGTGTAACCATGTTTTTATGACATCAGTTTTTCTATCTCTTAGAACATTATATTTCATTTTAACTTTTTCTATCTCCGATAAAGGTGGTAATATTCCTTTACGTGTATAATGTGAAAAATATGTTTTTGCATTTTTTATCTCTTCATTTGTCCATCGTTTTTTTTTCTTATATGTTTCACGACCTGTAATACAAATAATTCATGATAAAAAATAATTGAAAGAGATCTTGATGTAACATCTAATTATTATATAGTTACATGATTGATTTTTGCGCTTCCTTTTTCTGTTTTCGCTGTTTATACTTTCATTAGAACTGTTTGAGCTCATATTCATTACATAATCTGATATGTCACTATCTGAATCTTTTCCTATTAAAAAAAACTATAATATAAACATGAAATCCAAATGTAAAGAGAATAAGAAAAAGAGATCAAATTATATTTTAAAATATACATTTTGTTTAACCTAATTGTTTTTATTT